TAAAATAATTTTTATTGAGATTTAAGATCACCCACCAACACCCACCAACACCAGTAAAACATCAAATCTTATTACATATATCCTACTTTATGCTCCATAGAGCTGTTGACTTCCGTCCTTCCCTTCCATCAGTTTTCCTATTCTATTCTATAGTTCACAGTTTCTTTGATTAGATATTACAACATGACATAAGATTTACTTCAATCCTGCCAAAGTTTTCAAATTTGCACAGTTCTCACTTATATAGATCAAAAATTTACACCATTCTTTTTGGTACTTTGTCTCCTCCTGATTGCGAATTCTGTGTGTCAATTTAGCCATCTCAGCGTATTCAACCAGCTTTATCTGCCATTCTCCTATTGTCGGCATCTCCTGTTGCTTCCACTTTTGAGCTATCAGAACTCTAGCTGCTGTTGTTGCGTACAAATATAAACTTTGATCAGTCTTCTTAATATCTTCTCCCACCAAACCTAGCAAGAATTCTTCCGGCTTTTTGGGAAAGCTATACTTAAACATCTTTTTTAACTCGTTATAAATCGATTCCCAGAACTCTTTTAATTTATTACATGACCACCACATATGAAAGAAAGTCGCCATCCTTTTCCTTGCATTTCCAGCGAGTTTTACTACTAGTTCTGTACATTTTTGCCAATTTGGTGGGAGTAAGATACCAACGATAGACCATCTTCATAACATTCTCGGTTTTTTAACATCTCAGAAGTTGAACATTTGGAAAACCCGGAAGTAAATTTTTGAACACGCCTCAGAAGTCGAATGGCTTCTGCTGCATTTACTTGTTATTTTTCTTAGTTTTTTGCAGACCTCCCTTTGCGCCTCAGTTTTCAAATGTTTCGGAACTCGGAACGGTCTTCCGTAACAGATTACGTTCGAAAACCGAGGTAGCACTGTATTTGTTTTTTTTAAAAAAATAATTTTTATTAAAGTTTTGAACAACAAAGAAAGAAAAGAAAAACATACACAATACATATAACAAAAACACACACACAAAAAAGCAAGATTCAACAATAAAAGAACAAAAAACATAACAATTAAAAACAATATCTCTTTTCCATTTCCGTTTTTTAGTTACTTATTTTCTGGACTTCCTCATACCTCCCTCTTTTGTATTCCAATCCAAATTGTTTGTCCAGCAATTTCTTTTCCACTTTTTAATCCCAATCTTTAGCTTTAATAAGATATTGAAATATATAACTTCAACTTCTTTAAACCTGATCTTTGGTCTTAGTATCATATAACGTTAAAATTTTCCCTCTTAATGTCAAATTTCCATTTCTTTAAACATCTTTAATCCTAATCTTTAATCTTAGTCTATCATTAACTTTAACCTGTACAGCTGGAAACCGCTTATTTTCAGTCCAACATCACTCTAACATTCTTTAATTTTGCAATGTTTCTGAAGATAGTCTTTAAATTTCTTCCAATCTTCCTCCATCGACTCTTCTCCCTGGTCACGGATTCTACCAGTCATTTCCGCCAATTCCATATAGTCCATAAGTTTCATCTGCCATTCCTCCAGCGTGGGAAGTTCTTGTGTCTTCCAATACTTTGCGATGAGTATTCTTGCTGCTGTTGTTGCATACATAAAGAAAGTTCTATCCTTTTTAACACCATTTGGCCGACTATGCCCAGGAGAAAGGCCTCTGGTTTGTTGGGGAAGGTTTACTTAAATACCTTTTGTTCTGCAGTATATATCATTTCCCAGAAAGCCTTACTCTTTGGGCACGTCCACCAAAGGTGACAAAATGGCCCGTCAGTTTCTTTACATTTCCAACATTTGTTATCGGGCAAGTGATAGATTTTTGCAAGCTTGACTGGGGTTATGTACCACCTGTATATCATTTTCATAATATTCTCTCTTAAGGCATTACATGCCGTAAATTTCATACCTGTGGTCCATAACTGTTCCCAGTCAGCAAACATAATATTATGTCCAACGTCCTGTGCCCATTTAATCATAGCCGATTTTACCGTTTCATCCTGAGTATTCCATTTCAGCAGCAAGTTGTACATTCTTGACAAATTCTTAGTTTTGGGTTCTAACAATTCTGTTTCTAATTTGGATCTTTCCACCTGGAAGCCAATTTTCCTGTCCAATTTAAATGCCTCCATTATCTGATAATAATGAAGCCAGTCTCGCACTTTGTTTTTTAGGCATTCATTTCCTACTTGCGAGGGTTGCCTTTGAGGTTGGCACCAAGCAGTTTCTTTCGTGGCTTGGCAGTCCCAGGGGCAATGCAGGTGTGTGAGAGTCGCAGAGGCTTCTGCCATGGCGACATCCCCGCGATCCGCTCCGGAGGGGTTTCAGGGATGCAAGCAGTTGCGCGAAGCTCGTCGTCCATCTCTGGACTTGAAAGGCAACAGATCTGTTAGCGAAGGCCTCTAGGCCCGGTTTGTTCACCTGACTGAAGTGAGGTTTGTGTGCCTTTCCAAGTCAACGCAATGCCATACATTTCATAGGCAGGGGTCATCTATTCCTGCCCCCCGCAGTGCAGAAATCGTGTCCCTGGGTGGGCTCAAAACGCAAACCTTCTGGTTGACAGCCAGACACACATCTGACCCCTTGTGCCACTGCTTAAACCGCTATTTATACCATTTTAACAACATCTTCTCCAAGTTTTGTTATTTTATTTACATACCCCATTTCTACAAATTTGTATCCAAAGCTGCTCACAAAGCTAAAACATTCAAAACTAACACACAAATACATTATACCATAGGGCGGAAATATGAAACATGATCATATAAACATTTCATGCAAGATAGGAAACAAAGAAAAGGTAAGGAAATGAATATGAAATATTCTCATGTAACATGACACATATACATCTAAGCAGAGCTGACCTGTGAACTAGTTCAGAACACTTTCTTTTTTTTTTTTTTTTTTCATGTAAATATTTATTGATTTTTGAGAAAAAATAAAAAGTAAAAAGAAAAAAAAAACAACATCAACACAAAACACAAAAACCAAGAAAAAGAAAAAAAAATATATACATTACTAAAATTTTCGCCAAAACTATACATTATCATCTCTTTCTGGACTTCCTTCAGCTTGTCCGTTAATCTTTCATAGTAATAATTAAAGTTACGCATTTCTTTGCTTGTATTGTCATTGGACATCTTTTCCCCTTCTATTTACTTTAAACAATAACTCTTAAACATTCACAGTGCTTCTCTGAATCCCATTAGCGTTGTTTGTCCATTTTTAACAACATCTTCTCATTCATGTGACTCTGCAAGTTCTCTCTAGAACTCATGCTCTCGTTGAGGCAATTTTCTAGTTTTTTTGGGGGGGGGCGGAATTGACTGAGGTTTATAGAGAAAAATACAAAGCTTAATATCTCACCTCCTTTTTTATCCAAACTAAGACTTTTATTTAGATACAATAAAAACATAAAAGGGTGGGTGGGGGGGAGAGGAAAGTAGAAAAGAGGTTAAAAGAAAAATATAGAAATATAAGATTCAGAAAATAGAAAACTTCCAATTCTTCATCTATCCGCTATGTAAAAACAATATTCACTTTGTCCTGTGAGGCATGTTTCAATTTCTCATGGTCACAGAGAGAAAGATTTATCTTTGTTGCTTTAACTTCGTAGCTGTGACACACAAAGGTGTCTTGAGGGTGTAGGGGACCCCGAGAGAAGGGTGAGGTGGATTTGTGTTCTTCATCCTTGAGGAGCAACCCTGATGTGTTCGTGCGCCCAGGCGCACAGCTTCTGGAAAAGGTCCAAGTGGTGTATTTATAAAGCCACCTTTTGCTCTTCTCTTCCATTTTTGACTCCTGCCCCTTTCGGGAGAAGACTATTAAAAGCTCTCTCCTCTTTTTGAAACTCAGCGCTTAGCCCCCCGTTGCCACTGGGAAGTCTTTCATTAACCATTCCCTGGTGAGGCTGCCTTTGCGTCTGGCAGCTTCACAAAATCTATAAATAAGATATTTGTGTGCACATGTTATTGTGGCCCTCAGCTGTTTGGAGACTGGGGTGGGAAGAGGTGTCTTGCTGGAAACCAGGATGCAGAAGGAACAAAGGAGCTATGAAGGGAGAATGTTCATGTTAGATATGCAGAAATAAAAAACTGCTACCCTTGCTAGCTCTGTTCACCAACCCCATTCCCATTTCTTCCACATTAATAACCCAGATTTTCCCCTTCCCACCTCAGGCAACTATACCAAGCTTGCTTTTCACCTTCCTGACCTGATTTCTTCATGCAAATGCAGGATTGTGATGCAGCACTACGAACCCTCCAATGGGGGCTGTGTGACGACAGCCTTGCATTTTTATGTATATAGGAGGAAAAGTGGAACCCGTCCTCCGACTCTTAATCCACCTCCTTCAGCAAGATAGGCTGTGACCCTTTCCCTCCAAACTATCTGCGCATGCTAATAGCTTACTTTATTTTGAAAATATCAGCATGGTCTTTCCAGTGCAAAAAGCTTGAGGCAGTTTACAGTAGCAGAAACACTTAAAAACAATGAAACCAACATGAAGTTATAACCAGGAAGAGCATCAACAATGGGGAGAGGCTCAGAGTCCTTCTGGAAAAGAACACTTTCAAGTCTGTAAAAAGATTGAAAACCACAGATGCTAAAAAGCTAAATCTAGGCGGTGCGGCAGAAGGAGACAATTTTAACCTGGCATGTAAAAACTATCCAAGGAAGATGTTGGCGATTCCGCAGCAGTGGCTGTACCCCAGAATTTGTTCTGCTTTGTGAAGCCACGGTTTTATTTTCCCATCGGTATGGCTTTTGGAGCATGGCCTTATCAGGATTTTAAAGCACAGGTCCATTTCTGAGGCCCAGGGTTGCCTTAACTGCAACCAGCCTGCCGCCCATCGGGTAGGGCAGGTTGCAAATGCAACAGTACCAGTATCACGATGACATTTTTCTCCTGAGACAATTGCAAGACAAAGATGTCAGTGCAGGGGCAACAGGTAAAGTGATGTGCTGTTCTACACACTTAAGATGCCAGGTCTGCACAACCCCCATAGCTCAGTGGTAGAGCATCTGTTTTGGATGCAGAAGGTTGCAAGTTCGATCCCCGGCATCTCCAGTTATTACTCCTGACGGTATTGTTACGATTAAACTTATTTATTGCTTCTTTGCCGCAGCAACTCAAAGCGATTTACAGAATTTTAAACAAAAATCTTACTCTGACATACATAAAAGCCAACATTTTAAAAACATGAAAAGACAAATCCATTAAATATATATATAGATTAAAACATCCCACTCAGGCAAAAAGGTAGTTGATAGTTGAAAACCTGATGAAGAAGGAATCTTTTCCTGGCGCCTATAGATACGTAATGGTGGTGCCAGGCGAGCCTCCCTGGGGAGAGTATTCCACAAGCAGGGAGCCACCACTGAAAAGGCCTGTTTTTGTGTTGCTACCCCCTGGACCTCCTGTGGAAAGGACAGATAAAGATGGGCTTCAGATTATGATTGCAGGGTGCAGGTCGGTTAATATGGGCAGAGTTGGTCCCTGAGACACAGGGGCTCTGAGCCACAGAAGACTAATAATAAGCCAGATTGACCTATGGTCCGACTCTGTATATGGCTGCTGTCTGTGCATCCTTCTGGTTCTGGCACACTTACCCTGGTCATGAAATGATCAGGCTACATGTTGATGGGGAAACTCAGGGTTTGATGACATTACTACATGAGCCAGTGGATGCCTAAACATAACAGGGCTGCCGTTTGTTTGTTTGTTTGTTTTAAATAAGAATTTTATTAACAATTTCAACATAACAAATTATCAAAACAAATCATCTTCATGATTTCCCCCCCTCTCACCTTCCCTCAGCTCCTCTTACTGATTTCTCAACTCATGTTATTTTCTGCATATTGTAAAATTGCATACTTCCTTGTATTATCTACCTACTGTATTAACCCTCACTAAATTTGTGTATGTTTATTCAAAACCTGCCAAGGAGTCCAGTTCATTTTGTTGTCTTTTTAAATAATTTGTAAAAAGTTCCCATTCTTCTTTAAAGTCACAGTTGTCCTTATCTTGCAATTTGTATGTCAATTTCTCCAGTTCTGCATAGTTCATCAATTTCTCTTGCCACTGTTCCTTTGTCGGGGTTTCCTCATTCTTCCATCCTTGTGCTATCAAGACTCTTGCTGCTGTTGTAGCATACATGAATAAGTGCAGGGCTGCCGTTTTTGACAGCAATGTGTGTCTCCTTCAATGAAATGCTGAGGTGCAACTCAGCTTGCATTAAAACCGGTGGGTCTGCGTGGGAGAAAGTGTATAAAGAGAAGACCCTCCAGACTCCCTAGCCTGTCCTTTAAACCTGTGCTAAGTCCTAGTCCAGGGGTCTGCAGCCTTTAAGACAAAAAGAGCCACTTGGACCCGTTTCCGAAGGAAAAAAAACTGGGAGCCGCAAAACTCGTCATTATAAAAATAACTTTTTTGTCACTTTTTAAATTATTTCTTTGTTTGACCCCTCAGAATTACTCCTCCTCATAGAAATAAACATTAAATTAACAAGTTACCTTTTTGTGTGTGTGTGTTCTTCACTCCCCTTCAAAACAGTGACCAGCGTACATGCCCCATTTCAATGCAGTGACCAGCGTACATGCCCCTTACAATGTAGCGGGCGGGAAGGTGACGTCGGGACAGTGCGTGACTAACGCACGCACTGCCCCCATGCGACGTCACAGCCAGTACAGCGCCCGCCACAGTGGGGCACAATGCGCCTCCTCCCCTCGCTAGTATCCGCCCCGGAGCCGCGACAAAGGTGTAAAAGAGCCACATGCGGCTCCGGAGCCGCGGGTTGCAGACCCCTGTCCTAGACCATGGGTCGGCAACCTAAGGCCCAGGGGCCAGATGCGGCCCAATCGCCTTCTCAATCTGGCCCATGGACAGTCCGGGAATCAGCATGTTTTTACATGAGTAGAATGTGTCCTTTTATTTAAAATGCATCTCTGGGTTATTTGTGGGCCTGCCTGGTGTTTTTACATGAGTAGAATGTGTGTTTTTATTTAAAACACATCTCTGGGTTATTTGTGGGACATAGGAATTCGTTCATATATTTTTTTTCAAAATATATTCCAGCCCACCACATGGTCTGAGGGACAGTGGACCGGCCTACGGCTGAAAAAGATTGCTGACCCCTGTGCTAGACTGATCCTCTGAAGGTTGCTTTCCTCATTTTTCACATCCTTCTCCTCCCTCCTCGCCTTGGGAGAGGAGACATCTTTGTGTGTGTCTCTTGCAGAGCACAAAGAGCAGCCATGGCTCTGTTACTAGTCTGGCAGAACTCAGGCCTTCCCTATCAAATATGTGTTTCTTATTTTCTTAAACTCGGAGTGATTATAACCAAGAGCGAGGTGTGTTCTTAATCCAGCAGGGATCCAGCACTCAGTTCAGCTTCCAAGCTGCATGTTTACATTCCATGACATAAGTTGATGTGAGAGAAAAAAATTGTCAGTGAAATTCACGTCGCCTGACGGTTCTGCCTTCTCTCCTAGGAACCCGGCCCGGCAAAGATGGCCGTCACCAGCAGCAACATCCCTGGTGCAGAGAAGGTCCCCACCACAAAGTCCACCCTTTGGCAGGAAGAAATGAGGAGCAAAGACCAGCCAGATGGCAACGGGGGACTCAGCCCAGCCCCAAGCCCTGTGCAAGGCCAGCCCCCCCCTGGATGCTCCTTGAAGGAGCCATCGCTGGACAGCAAGGAAGGTAAGGGTTGAACCCTGAACCCAGACAGAACAGAGAGGACAAGGCCGGCACAGAAGGTCTGGGGTCAACCATGTTTTTTGCACATGGGACGTGCTGTGTTAGCACACCTGATATCCCACACCTCCGCGTTTCGGAAGATACCTGCGTAAAGCACGGAGGCCTTGCGAAATTTAAGCACAGAGACCCTGTCCCTCCACTTATCTTTGCTGCTGTGAAGGATTGTGTAACATTCAAAGAGAAGAAGTCAAGTCTCTCCTGTTTTGAAGGAACGTGCTGACTTCCCAGTGACCCTGTCCGAATATGTTATGGCTCTGGCCTGCTGGAGCTGGGATAGTATCAGAGAATAGCAAAGATAAATCCAAGGCTAACACGCCGTAAAGAGAATGGTTTGGCAGAGCTGCAGGGGCTGATTTGGGTGGCTTCAGGCACGTCCCAAGAACAGCATGTTCATCGTGAGAGTCGGCGAGGTTTTACTGGTTAGGTTCCCGGACAAGGAAGGGATGCGGGTGGCCCTGTAGGTTAAACCACAGAGCCTAGGGCTTGCCGATCAGAAGGTCAGCGGTTTGAATCCCCGCGACGGGGTGAGCTCCCGTTGCTCGGTCCCTGCTCCTGCCAACCTAGCAGTTCAAAAGCACGTCAAAGTGCAAGCAGATAAATAGGTACCGCTCCGGCGGGAAGGTAAACGGCGTTTCCGTGTGCTGCTCTGGTTCGCCAGAAGCGGCTTAGTCATGCTGGCCACATGACCTGGAAGCTGTACATCGGCTCCCTCGGCCAATAAGGCGAGATAAGTGCTGCAACCCCAGAGTTGTCTGCGACTGGACCTAATGGTCAGGGGTCCCTTTACCTTTCCCGGATGAGGACTGTGGCAGACCAGGGGTCAAGGCCAAACTCGGCTGTGAAATTCTCACTGGGTGACCTTGGAGTCTGGTCGCTGCCTCTAGGCCTAACCTACCTCACAGGGTTGTTGGGTGGATTAGATGAGGAGTGGGGGAGAACCTTGCACTCCACCTTGAGCTCCTCGGAGGAAATCGTGGCATGAAATGCAATGATAAACAAAAACCTTGCGTGAGACCTGGGTGGGGTGTACAGAGGAGGGAGTCCGAGAATTGGGAAGGGGCTGCAAGGGAGCTTCGCAAGCCCTGCCCAGCTCATGGGAGACCACCGTTCTTGTCGGTGGAGTCTGCATCAAACTCTGTGGATTGCATTGTTGGGCTGGCAGGGCTGTTGTTAATAATAAGAATAATAAGAATAAGAATAATGATTATGTTTTATTTATACTCCGCCCTCCCCAGCTAAGACCGGGCTCAGGGCGGCTAACACCAGGTATAAAACAATTGATTAAAATACAACTTGAAAACAAGATTAGAATGGAACATTAAAATGCAGCCTCATTTCAGTAGAAACTCAAATCATAAACTTTTTGGGGATGAAAACGTCAAATCTTCACCCAAGTTGCCCAAGTGCAGCAAATCATTTTTCTTTTTCGCATGCAAGGAAGCAAACGGCTGTGTGCTTGCGATTGGGGACACGAGGGGGGAGCTAAACTCTGCCCCAGGTGGCTCCCTGTGTCTCGTGTGTTGGGCTTCGACACCCTCTCGACTGTCTCCCAAACCTCCTTCCCCACTGCGAGCATCCTGACCTCACTCTTAAGTTCCGTTTCTTGACGGACCCTCTTTACCTCGCGCTTTCCCAAAACATTGCAGAGTTTGGGAACTGGCGACGTTTACACAATTTAAATAATGCGAAGAGGTGTCTGGATCTTGAATGTGTTTGCTAACGCCCCCCCCCAATACCACCTCCAGATAGGGGGCAATAAGGCTTTTGCCTCCAACCGATAATAAACTGCAGAATGCCTTGATTTTATTTTGCATCTCTCGGCTCACCACCTGAACTACCCTGCATTTCTTGTCAAACAGTGATTTCCTCTCTCATTCTCCCATCCCCAGTGGTTTGCCTCATCCCACTGCCCCCCATCTCCTCTGATTAGTCTGCCAGCAGCTCTGCTGCATTGTTCTCCACGAAACAATAAGGGCTAGAGATCTCCTTCCTGTTCAGGATGATGAGTTTTCCCCTTGGCTACCTAGGAAGAGGCAGCGTTTCCCTCCTCCTTTATCTGTGTTTCAAGGCTGGCTATCAAAAGAGCTTGTTTTCTTCCTTGCCTTCCTCTCAGGGGGTTCACCATTCTCGCATGAGCAATGCTTGGGATAAACCAAGATGGGCTTTTTATTTATTTTTTGCTCTTGGTACCAAAAATGTTCGACTTCCCACCCCATTTTCCATGCCCAATATCTTCTCTCTCTTATCACATCACATCCATACTATATTCTCTTAATTCCTTCTGTTGCTCCTATTTCAAATCCTGCTTG